AACGCAAACGATTAGAATTATGAGTATTGCTTCACAAAGTGATCCGCTACCACTTTCTCCCGTAACTTATTATTAATAACAATTTCTTTTACTTTTTTATTCGATTGTTCCGAACAATTATTTTCATTCGTGTCTTTTCCACCTGCGTTCGTTGATCTTGTTTCATTTCTACATCGACTGTTTTTTGTACGATATTCAGTGCCACCACGGCTATTGGTTGGACTTATCTGTTGATGTTTTTGATTCCTACTATATTGTTGCTGTTGTTGTTGCTGATGTACTTGCGGTGCAACTTGATTAAGATGGTGTTGATGATTTGCTTGAGCATCTTTTAATTCTTTTTTCAATTGCTGTTCATTTCGTTTAAATCGTCGACGACGACGTAAATATGAGCCATTGTCGAACATATTATAACTCTCGGGATCCAACGTCCAATAGCTACCTTTACCTGGTCGTTTATCATCTCTTGCTACTTTGACAAAACAATCGTTTAGACCGAAAAAAGAAGAAAAAAACACACGAAAAAAATAAAAAAATTGATAAAACTAAGATAATACATACTTAGATTATGTCTGATACTATTTTGCCAACCTTGTTTATTTTCTCTGTAATACGGGTATTTGTCCTATAAAAAAGAAAAGAGAAAGTACAGCAGATATTGATAGACAAGAGTAATTAGTAACTATTACCATGATAAATTGGTAAATTCCATTTAATGTTACTTTTCCATCCGGACTATTTTGAATGGCAGCTGTAATTAGTGCAATGTATGAAAATGGTGGTTTGGTCATTTCTTTTGAATTTTGTGCTGCTATTGCATAGGCTTGTGCATAAACTGGATATGTAAACATTTTAGCAGCAGTTGGATCACCATACGGATAACTTGGTGGCATTGTTGGTGTTGTATATTGTCGTTGTTGTTGTTGATAATAATTTTGTTCATTTGTAGTATAAGGTGTAACAAATGAAAATGGTGGTGTCGAATTTGGGTTTGTCATATTATTATTATTATTTTAATAAACTAATTGAAGCATATAATTTGTTTTATTTCCGTCTTACAAAGATGGACAACAGCAACAACAACAACAATCACAGACTGTGTAAACAGATAATATATAAAATAATAATAAATATTAGCAATCGTTAGAAAATTAATAAATCTCGTAGTTTTTGATTATGATAATAATCGTTGATGATGATCGTTTTTGTCTACTTCAATAATAAATACGGATGTGCCCTGGTCTATGTGTGTGTTGTTTTTTTTACAATTTGATTTAATTTGATACTCGGGACTATTTTCTTTCTCTCTCTTCCTCTCTCTTTCACACACACATATATAAACAAAACAAAATAAACTAGGGAAATCGATGATGATGATGGCTAAGTTAGCTTTCTTTTTGACGAAATGAATAAACAACAGTTGAAATAATAATAATACGGAGAGAGAAAAAGAGAAAAGGAGAGAGAAAGAGAGAGTAGACAATGGGAGGAACCTTGAATATAAAAGGATTTCTTCTTGTGCAAAAAAAAAAAAGTAATAATTGTCTAACTGTAAGTATGTACTTTTTTTTTTCGTAAATTTTAGTCGTTAAAATAATAATAAAAAAATACTAATAAGTCGCAATGATGAAATAATAATAATAATAATAATAATAATAATAATCAAAATAAAGTAGAAAGACTTTTTCTCTTTTTTTTATATATTCTCTTATATGCAACAGAGGCAAAATTTTTGCATTTTTCTCTTCATTTTGTCATATTGACACAATCATCTAGTCTGATAAACTCTGTTGAAGATTAGTGATAACTTATCCTCTGGTGACAAGAGAAATATTTTTCTTTTGCTGTTCGTTGTTCTCTTAGACTTTCATTCATAATCCAATCAAATTAGACGATTAGAAAGTATTTGTCCAATAAGATTGTTCGTGTTTCTTTTCTTTCACTATACATACAACATAAATATATGTATACTCTCAATAGAATAAAACAAAAAATAAAAAGAAAGAAAGATTAAATATAGAAAGGGACTTTTTTTTTCTCTTTTTCCTGATTAGCTACTCAAAATTCATAAGTTCATTAAAATTCATCAGTATTCAATATAAATAAATACTGATCAGTAATCTGATAGCCACAGGATTTAAACCCTGGAATTAAAAGAAGTGATTTTTCTGGTTTTTCAATAATATATAAATACGTTGACTTTCGTTGCGAGTTGTATTTGTAATTTTATCGCAAATTTGGATCATAGAATTTTTTAAATGCTTCTCATTGTATATAAGTTGTGGTTCCAGGTTAAATGCATATATTTTAACGAAATTATTTTTTGACAGAAAAGAGTTTTTATTAATCGTGAATAGACACACATTAAAATAAATACAAAAAAACAAACAGTAAACTCTGAGAAAAGGAATAAAATGTTTTTGGATTTGAACTGAAAACTCTTTCCCAATTGTTTTCTATAATTTTATTAGTTATTTAGACTATTAAAAAAAAAACACTTTCATATCAAAAGTAACTAGTAATGTTTTTCTCTCTCTCTCTTCCATATACACACTTTGTAGTTACGGCTCTGTTCAATTCAGACTGACTAACCAACCAATAGGTGAGAAAAAGTGAATGCTGACAGAATAATAAATTGATTGAAATCTTTGTTTAAAGCGTAGAAAAGGAGAAGATAGTGTCTTCCATCCATCCACTGTAATTTATTGAACTACAAATAACCTGTTCATAGCAAAATAGTTAGTTTATTTATTCAATACATAGCAGAAATCATATATGAAAGTGACTTTCCACCGAGAGGTATACATGAGGAATCGGACGTTTGAAAATGGAATATATTCAAGAAGGTCCACGTTAGCTGAATAGTCCAGTTTTCTACATGGAACCAGGATCACAAATATCAGCAGGATGCATACACTCCAAATAATTGAAAATTTTATCGTTTTTTTCGGTGAAAGATTAGTAAAGCATTCGTTTTTTTCACAGTAACTCTACGAATTTTACTCCAGTGGACTATCTTTATTTGACTCACATTGCTTCAGAAACGTATTCGCGTTTACACTCGCCCCTAATGTTTGCGGCACTCCATGCGACCAAACTTACCTCTACCAAACCTGCAAAATTCGCACTTTTGCTTTCTAATGGTCATAGCGATCAAATTCTTTTTGATCAAAACTAAAGTATCGTCAAGTGCCAAAGCTGAGAAATAGCCACATAAACTTGAAATTAGGAAATGGTTATGTGATTTCTAGAGATACTGCAGCTGCTGCTTCTCCTAATTTTTTTTTCGTCGATCGTAGTATACCCGTTTTAAAAAAAACAATCATCTCCTCTTTATCATGGGAAGCGATCGATTCATCTTGATGTCTCGTATTTTTTGATTTTTGCAGACGTTTTTAGTAAAAAAAAGTTAATAATTTGTAACGATGTGTTTTCAATCTTCAATCTATATGGAGAAAGAAAGATCATAATCATTCTTAATGGATTAATCTTTTTTCTCTTCTCTCTACATTGAATATCTAAATCTAACATTCAATTGTGTGTGTTTGTGTTTAACTGTTTTTGATCAGTGTTCTAAAGTGAATCAAAATTAGTGAAAAATTACAATCAATTACATGTGTCTAAATCAAACAAGATGTAACCTATCAACAGAATGTTATTTTTTCATTAGAAAAAGAGAAAATCATCCGTTCATTCTATCCATAATACTAAAAGAGAAAAATATAGAAGTACAATATATTAATGGACACCACAGGATGCCATCGTCTCTCTCAAAAGACACATATACATAACTGATAGCAAGAAAGAAACAACACAGATAGAAAAGAAATACGTTCGATTTTTATTGGATAGTTTAATGGTGATGTTGAAGACAACAATTTTTTTTTTTAAACCGTTACTAACTGGGGATCAGACATGATGCAGTTTGTCTATATATGTGTACATACACTCATCTTCACATATTTGTTTTGTTTTTCATTAAAAATTAGATTTGACATCCGATCCTTTCGTCATCTGGATGATTTTGTAAGAGATAAAAAAATTAGTCTTGCATATTGAATAGTTCACGGAAAAAAGAAAAGAAAAAGGAGATAGATGCTCGACAGTTAATGATGTTCATGATCTTGTCTTGTGATATAAGTTCTGTATGTAATTTTTAACATTTTAGTTCCTTAATGCATTTGGTTGGTGTCAATAAGCCGAAGTTAAAATGACAAGAAATGCTTTCATAAAAGATATTTCGTTTAGACAGAAGAGTTTAATTTTTTTTGTATAGAGCTTTATTTAAAAGGGGGAGAAAAATAACCCTTGCTGATTCACCTCTAGGGTGCTGACAGCATAAAAAAGAATTTACAAGTGAATTGTCTAAATTTTGTTATGTGAAAAAGAAGAAGTTGGAATATATTACAAAAAAAGGTTTTCGAATTAATAGATTATTCATTTGTTTCCCCTATACAGACTCTTGGTTATCTGCTACACATATCTTCGTGTACTTACCCTAACATAAAGTTGTCCCCCCCCCTCATATTAGAAGCCCCTCTGGAGGAGCCGATGTGGAAGGTGTATTAGAAAACCTAGGGCTTCTATTACGGGGAGGGGTTTAGTCTACATATATTGCAGAGCAAGGAAAAAAAGAACGGAGAAAACAAACAAACAAAGGGAACAAGAGATTGGAAGACTACATCATTCTCTGAATACAAACTTACACAGTTTGTCAAAAAAAGTCATATTTTCATTCAGTAAAAAATTTACACTCTGATTGTTTGGCCTGCCTCTTGGCAGCCATCTGATGCATTTGTTTCTATAGTAGTGAGAGAAAAAATTATTTACAACATTTTTGTTCAAAAGAAAATATTCTAAAAAATTTTGTTCATACATTTTGGATGCTATTCAGTCGTTTTAACAGACATTTCTTGAACTTTTCCTCAAATAGAAGAGTTTAATCTATTCCATATCTCCTCTATTTTTAGTGGAGAAATAATTGCGGTTTAATTCATCTTTCATTCCAAACGATTATTCATTTAAAGTATTGAACGATATGTTTGTATGTGGCATCATGTTCACTCTCATTCTTACTTTTTTAAATGATCTTCACACAAATCACAGAGATAGGATGGATTTTAATCCGTCAAACGGCATTTTTATTTTCTTTATAATCCTTTACGTTCATATATTGCCAAAGGTCTGATTATTTTAGCGGGAATTTTTTTAACATCAAAAAAACAGCAGACAGAAAAAAAGAGTAAGGAAAAGAGAAAGGAAACACTATGTTTTTTTGTCTTTTCATAATTCATTCATTTTATTTTTTGTTTGCCCATTGGCTACAATTAGTCGCTGATTGATACCGACAAAAAAAAACTGTTTTAGATCAGTTATGAAGTTAAAATAATATTTATGTACACCCAATCGCGTCATCAGAAGAAGTTTGTGGCACCAGTCTATATGTGTACATAAGGTTTCGAACAGAAAAAACAATTTGGTGTCATCCTCTCTCTCTCTCTCTCTCTCTCTCTCTCTCTCTCTCTCTCTCTTTCTTTTTGTTCAAGGTAACTAACTATGAATGCCTTTTTAACGTGATGATAAAAACATCAAAATCAAAGCATATGTATATATTCAATGTTGTTGATATGTTAAAAATCAAGTGGACCGCTCAATTGTGTTAATAAAAGATTAATTATTAAATAATGGCACGGGCCAAAGAAGAAATTGTGACTAAAGTAGAACTCAAATTTTTCTCGTGTAGTGTGAATATACAGAAATATTTACTTTTTTTTTAATTTAATATGATAAAAAACTTTGGAATTGTAAAATAGAATTTTTTTTTTGTTTTAAAATATATAGAGATGAATCAAACAAAAGTAATTTGGAGAAAAATGGTCTATTATTGTTCTTATTACAATCTGAAAATGTTAGTTTAACGTATACTTGCTCAAGTTTTGTTATCCTGTCGCGATCATCGTGTGTTGTATCATCGACTCTGTCATTCTCTCTCTATGAT